AATATTGCAGTACGATTTAGTTGATATTGGTAGCTATCAGTTCTAGGGCCTTAAGTTGAATAGGCTGGATAGTGAATTATTTGTCATTTATAAGTAAATTTTTCAACAAAAAAATGATTCTATTAGAAAGCAAACCGAAATAACTTTGTACCGAAAAATTTTCTAAATATAGACTAGAATTAATAAGCTTAAAGCAGTCATATTTATCAAAAATCGTATTGTTAAATTTACTTGTAATTGAACATATAATATCAGAAATTTGAGTTATCGAATTTATATGATTAAAAAATTACTTGTAAAATCTTGAATGGCTCTTCTTTGTGGTATAAAACTCTTGCAATTAGCATTGATTCCTGTCAGATTAACTGCAAAAACCAAGGCATCACTGTTCGTGGAATGATCATGCATTTTACGTGCTACGTAAAGTTCAGGCGCGTCGTGACTTTCCAATGAGCAATGTATAACATTTGACAATAAATATAGTCATTTTATTCTTCTCTATGAAGTCTTATAAAAATTTAACATCGAAAATTACGGTGAATTGTACATGTTGGTCAAACAGAAAGATAGTAAATTGTACTTTTGTGACAAATCTAAATAAGCAATTTGAAAAATGCATTGCGAAATTAAGATTAGGGAGATAAATTCATTTAGCTTTTTGATACCAATATTGAAAGAAGTGGGGGAGAGTGGAAGTTCAGTTATCAAATAAAAATCGAAATATATGAAAGAGATAAAATTAACTGGAATGATAAAAAATTATTTTTCAAAAGCAAAAACGAAGAAGGGAAAAGAAGCAAAATAGCATTAATTTAATTTAAGTTTAAGCAAACAACTTAATGCCTCATCGATTTTCGCTATTTCACTGCTACTATGAACAGCCAGCACTTTTTGGGGATGCGTTGAATGTCCTCTTTGATAGCTTAAATTTGTCGTAATTAACTGAAATTATTTCTTATAAAATTGCTTAACATGACAAGAAAATGAGATTAAAAAACTTGACGAGACAGGCATTTCTCTGTTAACAGCAGGACTGAGTTCGTCCACACGTAAATGTTATACATCCGATGAGCGAAATTTTGCAAAATTTTGAAGTGAGTTCGAAAAATATTGATCTAGTGTTGGTTCTTTTTTATATTTCAAAAATGACAACAGTTTGTAATCTGCAAACTTATTGAATGATTTAGTTGAATCATGCAGAAATATTTGGTGCAACTTTTGTCCAAGAAAAAATTAACTGTCTTATGGTATCGAACTTTTACAAATTTTGTGAATCTTAGAAATTGAGAAAAAAGGAAGAATGGTTTTTTTTTTTTTGAAATACAATACTTATAAAAACATAGTGCAATTTGTTTTGTGATGTGTTCCATTTCTCATTCAGCTTTTGTTTACAATAGAGGAAAACCGGTTGCTTTTAGTATCCGGAATTGAAATTCATTGTGACAAGTTCAAGCAGAAATGCAAAAAGGGTACAGATTTGAATGCTATGTTTTTATACCTAAAAAATTTCAAAAGTAACGATCTATTAGTTATTTTCAGTCCAATAACGCCAGAGGAAATGTATATATGTGAGTAGTGGGAAGAAACTAATGGCCCTATGCAAATGATTCATAACTTTGCAAATGTTCTCCGCTGAATATCACATGAATTTTTCGCGGAAAATCTGAAATTGCATAGTGCAGAAGACGATGTAGAAGTTGATTTATTGCTTAAATTGCTAGCAGCGTCTTCCAAGTGCTTACCCACTGGAAGTGAATTTATGGAGAGAGGAAGGGACAGGGTCAACTTTAATTGATAAAATAGTTCCTTATTGATATTAATCAATTGGAGAACAATCAATTAACTGATGAAATCGCCTGAAAGTTTTCTTAGAAATACTAAGAGTCAAAAAGATTTTGCTACGTGGAAGGAATGTTTTGAGCAGGTGAAAAGGATAAGCTTTATTCTTCTCAGTAATATCATAAGAATTCATTCGCAAGCACTTGTTCATATGGAAGATGTTCAGATATGATTAACAAATACGATCAGAAGGTAACATAACATATTTGGGACTACATCTAGATGTAGTTTTTGTTTTGTTTTAAATGATATGCTTTCTGTGTTCATTAAATGCCAAAAGTATCTTTGAAAATTTTCTAAATCCTGTCAACCCATGCACGAATGTTTCCTCAAATTATTGGAAGTTCTTAGCAAAACTGAATGGAATATTCTTGCCGAATGTGTTATGCATTTGTTGTGTAAATTCATATAGTGCTCAAAGACATTACGAAGTAATTGATCATATCAAATTTCACTTATAAAACACGTGTTAAATTATGGAAAAACGAAATGAGTTGCAGATACTTGAAAGATAAATATCTAATATTATCGGCAAAAGTTTTAGGGAAGTTAAATTTCTGACGTCAAGGAAATTCGACATGCGCAGTTACACATTAGAGGCATATATCGATTTGCAATCCATAAGGAGCAGTAAAGTGAATAACGATTCAGAAAAACATGTTTCTGAAAATGTCAACCACCAGAAAGAATACTTCGTCATTTAAAAACTTCTGCCAAGTAATAATTGGATATAATTGAATATAATTCCAAAAATCACTGAATCATTGGATATAATTCAAAAGTTAAGGATATCCCGAAATTTTAAGGATAATGAAGGCAAAAAATAACCGGTCTCAAGTAATTAGCGTAACTTGTCGCTATATTAATTGTGTGTATTATTACGTTAATTTGCAACTTAACCAGGAGACTAATTACAAATAGAGCGACCTTTCATAAGTGATGAATTAATCAACTTGCACACCGAATTAATAATGTAGAAGGTAAGAAGTAAATACTTTTTAGCTGCGGTATTCAGGTGGTTGCAGTTTAGTGGTGATGAACTATGGTTATACACAGCAAGATTTTTCAAGTAAGCTGGTCGAATCACCGTGGTTACTTCAATAGATAACCATCACTAGCTTGCTTGTAACAGTATGTCACCATGTCTTTTGCGAACACTGACCGGTTTGTTTCCATTGAATTTGTCCTTGAATGAAGTACAATGATCGTATTATTGATTCCGCAATTAAAATATGTCTCTATCTTTAACAATGATGTCGTGAGTGACCACTACATCTGCACGGCCATATCTTGACCTTTACCATCTCGCTGACCTAAACTAACCCTGAAGGGAAATTCAGAAGTGAAGGAGTCAGCAAGATGGTTCAGAGCTGTTGTTAATCCTGAAATATTCACATTATTGCTGGCACTCATCAATCCATTGAGGACGTTCAGCATTCACGTGAACAGCATGTCCGCTGCGCGCACACACAACTATTAACTAACACATGTCATGCACGTGAAACACCATCTCCGCAGCAGCTGCCTGGAGCAGGAAGAACGATAATAATATGGTTGTTGCGTGATCAGCGGTGGGTTTTCTGCTCCTCTGATACATATACGAATACTGTACGGTATGTATATATACACGATACGTAATCGTACATCTCGCTGGATTCACATCGGATATCTATCTGATGGGATATCTCTTATCTTTGAAGCGAACCTTGTTGGCTTGCAGAATTCGGGAGGACTGTATCATCAACCAGTGTGATGTTGACGTTATATACCTCCCGTAATTACCGGGATGTTGGGGTCGGACTTTTTTGCATTTATAAAATATTCTTGTCCTTCAACCGCGAAGTTAGAGCATCTTCGTAAGGTTTTGTAAAAATTCCAACTTTAGCAAAATTCTCGCCAGGAAATGTCACCGGTATCATTTAATGTGAATCCTGAATATGCGCAAATTACGGAACTTGTCCATGGCCTGTTCATCTGTGGCGTGAGCTCGTTAACGGCTGAGAACATGGAAAAATATGATATTTCATTCATTGTTAATGCTACTAACGAGGTCCGTTTGTTCGATTTATTTTATTACTGTTATACACATATGGTAATTTTAGGTAAAGTAGCAAATTCAGTTAAACATTTTTGAGAGAATTTAGTTTTAGGTACCAAATGTGCAATCACTGGGCAATATTCCACGAGTGAAACTGTGGCTTGAAGACTCTCCGCGAGCATCTATTTACCCCTTGCTAGATCAACAGACTGATCAAGTAAAACATTTCCATCGAATTTAATCATTGCTATTATTGTCACAACTGGCAGTCGTACCTCTCTCACTTCTTCGTCTTCTCACTTCCTATTATAACTCATTCCATAAATTGTAGTACGAATTTTATTTCCCATAGTTTCATATAGAAATGTTACTTTTTTGTATTGCATATTGTCATCTAAAATTTGGAAATAAGATGAATGGGTTGGAATTTGGAGATTACTTATATGTTTATTCCTATAACAGTGCTTGTTTCATGCGATAAAATGATCATCGTCATGCTACATTAAAAGCCGTAAAAATGTGGTAAGAGAAGAAGTGAGAAGTACGAAAGAAGCTATGCTTTGGGAGTGCAATGCGGGAAAACTCGATCTTTGAAAATAATAAATTTAGATTAAAGAAATCGAACTTCACAAACGATTTATAGATTGAAGCGGTGATAGCAACTGGTGGTAATGTATTGGTGCACTGTGTAGCTGGGATATCACGATCAGCTACTATTTGCCTTGCATTTCTCACTAAATTCCGCTGCAGATCACTCAGGCAGGCTTATCACCTGATGGCTCGAAAACGGTCACTTGTCAGGCCTAATATCGGATTTTGGCGACAACTTATTGTATATGAACAGGTGATCAAACAAGCTAGAATTTGTGTTAAAAATTACGAATGTGTTTGCAATAATCAGATGGCAGTTCTTATGTCATAGAATTACTCTAAGTGTCGCTTTCAAATTTAAAAACTTCTGCAATGCTGAATTACATGAACTATTCTAGAGCTGAGTTATAATATATTTTTCAGGATGTTAAGAAGAGTATAGGAACAATTCAGTTAGTCAGTGATAAAACACATCCTGGTCAAGTTATTCCCGATGTTTATTTGGATGAAGACATTGGAGTTCGAAAGCCATCATTTGCAGTAAATTTTTAGATTAAAAAAGAGAATAAAATGTCAGCACAAATGTCTAATATGTAGGGTTTTCCTCCGGGCTATCTTTATTTACACTGAGAGCTCAAGTTTTCATTTTATAATATCATACTGACTTTGCTAAAAATCAGGCTGACAGCATTTGGAGAATTCTTGACCTCTTACTTTATTTAAAGTAAATGCTTATTTTAAATTGATCTTGTATTATTAAATAAGAAGGGTTAAAAAAAAACTTTTTCCAAAATTTGAAAAATATTGATAAAAAATTAATAAAAAGCGGATTTGGAACGGAAAAAACAAATTTGAAAAGACGGAAAAAAAAAGGATTGAAACGGACTTTTAAGAGGGTTTATTTACCACTAGTATCAATGCCATTTGAATGAAGTAAATGCTGAGTGATTGACCAGTTCGATGTACCTTCCAAAAAAGATTGCAACAAAATGTGTAAACTGATTGAATCAGATTCACATAATGATTCATAATACTGACTTTATTTCAATTTTCAAATTAATGGAAATACTCGACTATTACAGCAAGACGCTATTGAAGACGAAGGGTGTAATTATGAGAGGCGAAGTCGTCGTAATTCAGGTGGAAGATTGAAATTTCGACCAGTGTTAGAGCCCGTGCTCGAATATGTCGAAGCTACTGCATAATTATAGTACCATTGATTCTGCTGCCAGAAAATCAAGCTTACTATAAATTTGTTACCTGCTATATATCTAAGCTTATTATTCAATATTGTACAGTTGTTTTTTATTCAATTATCTAATTTTACTATCCAACGTTATACAATTATTTTGTTGAGTTATCTAAGCTTACCATTCATTGTTATATAGTTGTTTTTCTTATTCAGTAATCTTTTTGGAAACATTCCATTAATGAGTGAACTTTTCGTAAAAAATCTTCAACATTCCTGAATGATTAGCTAAACTTAATATTCAGTATTAAAACATTTTGTTAACTTGAGACGAATTCTAATGACGCTATATGACGCTATACGCTATATCGGCAATATTATGACGTTATTCTTTCTTCGTTTATAACAATCTCAGCCCACTTCGTTTGCATACCCATTGTTTTTTTCTCTTATCATTCAGATATTTTATTGTCATTATCATCGCTAAGAATGGTGCTCGAACTGAAAGGATGAGCAGAGTTTTCGTTTTTCTTTGTTGATAGAACTTTAAATTTTAAAAGTAAAATACTCTTGAGGGCTGTGAAAATGAATTAAGTGTAATAGGAAGTCCTCGTAAAAACTTACCAGAATATTAAAAAAGAGTTATTTTTGACAGAAGAATATGTAGCTGGCGCCATACACCGCCGGTCATTTTGCCGATTGTTTGTTTTTTTTCTTTTTCAATATCTCGACATTCCTACGCCACTGATGGAAACATCTTACGTAACGTCTTACGTTATTTACAAAATAGGGGACCAGGTCAAAATACTGACAAGGTTAAACCATTATTAGCTATTATTTAGCCGAAGTTTATTCACAAAAATATTACCAAACAGTACAGAAGTGAAAGTACTTATTGGCGGGAATCACTCATGTCCAAACAGTTTGATAATTACTATAACTGTTCAGGATTTGAAACTTAGTGTTTCTGCAGCTTGGCAAAAACGGCAAACTGCTGCAGGTAGGATATCAATTCACAGTATAAGCAGACCGAAAAAATCCCTAACCATACTGCTATAACTTCTGGTATCGCCATCTGGACGAAATTTAGAGTAAGCGATCAAAATATATCACGACCAGTATTTACCACCAGAAAGTCGCCCTCAACAGTTTTAGTTCAATGCTCTGTTGATTACTAACTAACAGGGTGAAAACGCTCCCACTTGAATCTTAAAATTTCAGAACAATTTAGCTGGTGTAAATTTCGCCCTTCCGCAGAATCCATAGGAGCCTAAAACAGTCAAAATAATGGCCAAATGTTCCGGACTTCCAGCATAAAACTTGATTATTTATTTAGAATTTTCCATTCACTTAACGGAAATCGAGAGTACGGTCAAATCCATCTAAGTCATAAGGCAATATCAGCAAATCTCGCAGTTTGCATGCTTTAACAGATCAACAAGGATTTCCTTTTAACAATAACGGGGATACAAGAAATAAGAAATAAAGATTTCACGATTTTTAATTAGCTTTCTTCCATCGCAGCTCATCGCTTATGCAACTGCTTAAATGCCTTCGGTTTTTTCTTGTAGCCTGCTCCGCTTAACTTCGATCTTACAAGTACCTAAATACTTCCATAATTTTAATTCGCAATGAAATCACTAAAGATTTAACGAAAAGTGATATTTGCTCTTCAAATGTTCAATGACGATATGTGCATTTCCTTGTTAGTACTGAGCTTTATAAAACCATTTCCATTCTGGATGATAGAAAACGATGTTTTCATTTAAGAACATTTGAGGAAACTTGTTTTCCAGCTGGTCCAGGAATGTGAATTCATGGTACTGTACAATCACTAACTGCTAAATATGAAGTAATCTTCGTGATCTTCGCACAAAATAAAATCTTCATCTATCTTAAAACAAACAGCCAAATAAGTGCTCAGCAAACGCTTTAAGACAGATATGCACTACGCAGTTTCGCCCGCTGATAATAATCAAAAATACCATTGGAAGTATCTAATTCAACAAAAAATAACACGACAAATGGGCACACCTTGGGTCTGTTTGATATTGGTAGATCGACGAAAGGAGGAGTGGAAAAACCGAACGATTTTGAAACGGCAATAAGATCTAATGTGTTAACGTCAAATATACTTTTTAAGGAGTGTGAGTCATATGCTCTTATGTAACATTTATAAGCTTCCTGAAAATATAAATAATTTGAATTACAATATTTGGATAGGTCATCCTTCTATAAATGCATAATTCGATGTGCTTAATAAAACAGTTCGAAACTTGAACCTTCCCCTTAGCGAATTATTAACAGAATGCCAAATGCTGACCTTCGCCGATTTATTCAAATAATAATTTTGTTCAATAAGTTTTTCTAGCTGCGACTGTATATTCGCAATTTTACTCCATGAAAATTCATATTCATTGAGCACAACTTTTGCATGCTTCAGGTAACGAAGGAAGCCAAGCTCTTCAGGGCGCAATATCAGCAATGCATGACCGGTACCGGTAACACCACGAGCTGTACGCCCGACACTAAAAAGCAAATATGATTGGTATAAGTTATCGAAAAATATGTTCTGAGTACTTAGAAACTGAACGCACAAGAATCGGTTTTAGTTAAATAAATATGGAAATACTAAATAATCAATTTGGTCGTTACAACTGCTAAATTTCACAAAATCGAAAAAAAATCAGATACACAGCTTTTCTGACATATCACATTTTTGATTCTTTAAACAGGAATATTTATAAAATTTTAAAGATAAACCGATGTATGTATTCTCGTGGCTCATCTGGTGGGTCATACTGTACAATCCAATCAACCTGCGGTATATCAAGACCACGGGCAGCAACATCTGTACATAGCAAAGTGCCTGATTTTGCTTGGCAAAATGAAAAGAATGTGCACGTTCGTTTCTGCTGTTTCTGCTTACCCTGTAAGAAAAAAGATCTGCTTTTTTCATCTGCTGAACGTTACAAAATTCCTAATTTACAAATACGATCAGAATAAAGATTAATGATCCCAAAGAATTTCTTTTTTTTTTCGTAGAAAGCTTTCTTTTATCCAAGTGATAAATAAATAACAAAATGACATTACATGTATACACTGCACGGAGATATCGATATAATTTAGCAGTTCGTGATGATACTTCACTGAATTACATGATGAAAAAAATACCATCACTTTCTTATCTCGATTCCTTTTTAAAAACGTAAAAAGTAGTAGAAATCGCTTTTCTGAGGGGCAAACAACATAACCCTGCAAAAACTTCTTATCTCTTACAATATATGACAATGACGGTCACTTCAATCAACACCTTTTTTATGCTATTTAATCTTGGCATCATGGGAGTAACAGTTAATTCGTCTGAATCACATCACATATTGTCTTGTTTTAAAATATAACGCTTTTGAATCACGTGACAGGCCGCTATGTATCAATTTTTGCATCTAAAATAATATAATGTATTTAAAAATAACGACCTGTTGCAGACCCGAAACTGTTGCTAATTCATTTCCATTTTTTAGATTCACTTCATTGATACCTATTCTTACAGGATCTGAATGAAGTGCAGCTTTGATAAGCTCGTCAACCTAAATTTATTTAAAACAATTAATAAGGACAATAATTAAACTTCCGAAAATTTAATTTGATCAAAAACTGGAATGTTGAAGGTAGACTGAAAAAATTCTATAGACATACAAAATGAACATTTACAGCAAAATTAAAGTGATGCAGACCTTCGATGTTTGTGTAGCTGAGAAAAACATTGTCTGACGTTTTTTCGGCAACACTCGTAGTATCTGTTGCATCTCGATTTCAAAACCAATATCCAATATGCGATCTGCTTCATCGATAATCAAACATTTCAAATTTTTCACCATGAAGTCATCTGTATTCTGCATATGAAATGATACTTCTACGTCATATGAGGAAAAAACGGTGATAAAATAGAAAAATTGAAGGAAACTGAAAAAACTTCATATTTCCAACTAAATTAAAACGTAAGGCAACATCATAACAAAACCTTCTTATAAGGATCGTTGGGTAATTGAAGTACCTGTAAATGATCGAGCAAACGACCAGGTGTAGCAACAAGGAAGCTAACACCTCTGGCTAATTTTTGCGCTTCTGTCTGTCGATTGGCACCACCCATAATTAAACCATGGGTTAAAGCCGGATGTTTCTCTAGAATCTCACTCAAAACTCCATATGTCTGCATGGACAGTTCCCTGGAAAATTCATTGGAAATGAATTACAAAAAAAATTACAAAAAAAAAAAGAAAGAAAGAAAAAGAGAAAATTACAAATTCATTGGGAATTTATTACTCATAAAATACAGACCATCAATTAACTGTTGGAGCAAATTTGGAAGTTGCATTAAAGGAAATTAATGAACACTAACAAATTCCAATCATATGAAATCATATGAAATTTGACTGAAATATGATTTTAAAATATCGCCACTTCAAAGTCTAAAGCAGATCAAAATAAACCGTGTTGGCGAAATAACAATTACTCCTGTGCCATTACGTGGTTTCCATTCAAGTTTTACAAGTAACTCAACAGCTGGAACAAGAAATGCCAATGTTTTACCACTTCCGGTTTTGGCTGATGCTAATACATCACGGCCCTGAAAATACCTTTGGATCTAGAAAAATTATTGAAACTAGAGGTGCTTCTTCACACTTGAAAAAACTCTACTTTCTTAATTGGTATGCTAGGTAGTAATCCCTCATTAACCCACACAAATAGAACCGACAATGTACTTGAATCGTGATGAATCACAGAAGAAACTAGAAACAAACTTAACAGTTTACGATTAATCTTCTGCGTAAAAACGTGTGGTTTAACCAACAGAAATAAAACTATTTAGCAATCGAAAGTGCATAATCAACCAAATGACATCTTAGTGGTATGATGTTACCTGTAATAAAGGTTCAATACATTTTGCTTGTATTTCAGTCATTTTAATAAAGCCCATTTCAGCAATTGCAAGTAAAGTAGGTTTTGATAAAATGCTTTCAAGTGATGCAAATGTGGTCGATGATAGATACGAAACAACGTCAACAGGTGAACTGAGTTCGGCTTCTGAATTTTCAACAGGTTGCGGTTCTTTACTCTAGAAATAACAGTCTATATAAATTTTGAAAAATCTATGCGAAATAAAAATTAGGAAAACTTTTGAAACAGTAATTTTTATCACATAAATATAAATGAAAGGAGAATAATAGAAGCCGAAAACCAAGAGCACGATTACGAATACAATTCAAAACGGTGGTAAGCTTGATTAAAGACTGAAAAGTGAGGTAATGGGAGAGGAAGAACCAATTCATATGGGAGGGCCATTACATCCATATGAATTAAGTTGAAAGTTAGATAGCACCTAATTTGAGTTAAACGTCAGATGGCAAAAATGTGAGACTTTAACAAGGTCAGCTTTTCGAGTTTAAATGCAAAATTCATAGTCATCAAAAAACCATTAATGAATGATAACAAAAGTAGGTAATGTGTGATTTATAGACACATGTGATTTATAGAATTATAAAGCTACTACCAGCCACTATTTCCATATTATAAATTTATAAGGTGCAATAAAACAGTTGCTGAGATTGAAAAAAAAGAAAAAACAGAAAAACAAGACGACAAAAAATTAAGAAAAACAAAACAACAAAAACTAACTGGTCCTTTCTCTACTGCTATTCCATCTTCACCGATTTTTGACATTTTTGGCTTAGCTGCATCCTGAAGTTTCTTAAGTTTACGCTTAAAAACACGTTCTTCCACATTCATCATATTTCTGTCTGAAAATTTTATCAAATAGAAAAGAAAAGGAAAAGTATTTCCGTGCTATTCCCAAGAAGAACCTTTTACAATTTACAGCAAGATCCGTCCTGGGATGTTCTCACTTATGAGTTAAGTTGATTTTGCTTACTTTTCTCAAACACAAAAAATTTTCCGCCTGTTCAGGCGGTGAAATCAAAGGAATAAATGATAAATGGTAGAACAGCGCTATAATTTGCTACAACAAATGAGCTAAAATCACTGTGAAAACAGTCGAATTGATGAAATTTGCGATTTGATGTAATT